ACGTGGATTCAACGTTGAATTATGGTTGACGAGATTGGCAACCTAATTTCAACGTTGTTTCAACGTCGAAACAGTAACGTCGATCCAATTTGCATAGTTAACCCTTTTTCAACGTCTATCCAACGTCTGGAAGGTCATTTCCAACGTTGATTCAACGTTGGATAAACGTCATTTTGCCCGCTGGGAACCACCTGACTTCTTTAAATCGATTTTGAGAGGTGCACGTGGTCTTACGGACGTATAAGCCCACCGGAGAATAAGCCCCCAGTGTATAAGCCCACAATATTTCCTAACGCTCAAAGCCATTCCGAATATAGCCCCCCCCCCCCGAATATAAGCCCCTCCGTGTACAAGATCATAGGATTATTGTTGCACAGGTATGTTATTGACGCAGCGACTAGGATTCCAGCAGCTCAGACAAGTGACAATAATTACATTACAGTTATATAATATGTTTAAACCAGCTTGTTTTATGTATAAATTATATACTGTATGTTTATATTTATTTTCATTCACAGTATAGTTTACAAGTACGATAAATATTAATATATTATTACTAACTTCAAATGTCGTCCGTATATAAGCCCCATGCACCTCCATATATAAGCCTTCCCATGTATAAGTCCATCAAAAATGCTTACAAACGAATATAAACCCAGGGCTTAAATTCGGAGGTTTACGATTTCTACAACCTCGTCAGGGTCTTCGTGGGATTCCGTTTATGGTTTGCCTTGATACTGTGGGTTATACGGAGGATGATGGTGGTAATCGTGACCTTGGCGAGGGGCATTCTGTGGATACATTTGTTGGCCACTGATGTCTTGAAATTGTGCATCTTTTGTCACTTCCGGGGATTTGAGAGTGTGATAAACAGGGTCGTGAAGTCGATTGTGGTTCTGATGTATTTCGTTGTCACTTTGTGCAGGATATGAAGACAGAGTAGTGTGGTGTCCTTGGTCATCGTAGTTTGGAGGAGAATCTACATAACCCTGTGCTCCATATTGGAATCCATGAGGGTAGTGACTAGGATTGTGGGATTGACGAGCCACGTTGTTGTTGCCATGATGAGGATAATTTTGAAATGCAGTTGGATTGTTAAGATGCGAAAACTGGGTGTTTGGTTGTTGATTCTGGATTTGTGTCCCTTGATATGAAGTGTTCTGTAGAGGCACAGTTCCCGCTTGAGTTGCATTCGTTGGTCGCTTCCTTTTTACATACCAAAACACAGCTAGTGTTATTCCAACAACAATAAGAAATACAACTAGACTTACAGTAATAACAGCAATCGCCCATGATGAGAGAGAGTTGCTGTTTTGGTTAACTGCGCATCTATGCTCAGAGTCGCAAGTCTCGCCCGGGCCACCACAGTCATCACTTGTACTACAAGATTTTCCAATACAATGTTCACTACACTCACTAAATTCACCAACATACCACTGTCTTTTCTTACAACAGTAATGTCCACTACTGCAGTGTGAGTTTGTAGTACATCCCGAACAACCACGATCTACACATTTGTTAGAAATACAACACTCATTTCGAGCCCCACAGTCGTCGTTAATCCAACAGAACTCGCCCACACAACTTTTGGCACAACTATCTCCCCAATAGCCGGAACTCTTCTTCTTGCAACAATATTCATCCAAATTGCACTCGGAATTCGATGTACACTTATCGCTACAGCCTGTTTTGACACACTTTCCCGATCGACAACACTCTCCCCAACCAGCACAGTCACTGTTGGAATTACAAGTTTGGTTGATACAATTCGCAGCACAGACAGTCTGGTTCAAAAGAAACGTCTTCTTGCAACAGACATGCCTTCCATAACAGTCTGAATTTTTGGTACATCCAGAGCAACCCTTGTTGGCACATTTATTAGAGCGGCAACACATTGATGGGTCGCCACAATCACTGTCGCTTGAGCAATAGTGATTCAAACACGAACCAGACGTACAAGATCGATCTTTGCTCCCGAAGTATCCACCGCAGCAATACGCCCAATAATCGCTTTTGCAATCCGCGCGGGTTTTGCATTTATCAGCGCATTGAACAAGACGAACATTGTCGCAAACTAATACACCGAAAACGATCACTAAGACAAGATGCTGCGCCATCACGAACGATTTAGCACTAACGACGCATAGAATGGAATGCAGGGGGAAAGTCGGAAAACGAAAATAAATGGGTGTTTCTAATAAAACTGCACACCTGCTTGCATAATATATGAATATGAAAGTTGGGACATATCAGATTTTAAGAATGGGTGGACTGAATAATTTAAAGTGCCCCTAACCTCAAAACATTTTTTGTAACCACAACGAGCCTACAAACAAGTGCAAAAACAATAAGACTTTTATATTTTCTCCTGTTTTTAAAATTCTTGCCCTCCTCTGTACACAATGTTAAGAAAAAAATTTGGCTATCAGGCTTTACGTCATATTCACAATATTGTTCTGGGGGAAGGGGAAAATTAAATTGCGTTGTTGTCTCTATCATTTTTGACTGAACAATTTAAAGTTCCCTTAACCTCAAAAATTTTTTTGTAACCACAAAGAGCCTGGGTCTAGCCCATCTTCTGACGTCATGGAAGGTAATCGGTGTATATATTTGATCAGCTGGTATAAATGGCCTATATCAATATTTAAATTTTACTGGGTATAATAGATTGACTTCAAAATTGACGTGTATCGAAAGTTATAATTTGGCTATACATTTAGGCGTATTTTGCGCGTTCGATCTTAGTATCACAGTAGTTCGTGTTACGTCAGTGTTACTGACATAGTGTTGTCTAAAAGAACGAATCACATACTTTTAGACTTACTTGCACCTATACTGTCAAATTTGGGCAGACTTCTGCAATCACAAATAAGCCTTTACTTATAATAAAACCATGACTAAATGTAATACTGAGAGCCTCTTGTATTATTGATCAAATCAAAGTAAAATAACAAAGTCAAATCTTCGAACTGCCGCCAATTCCAAGCATTGTTGTGAACATTCTGACTCGCAAATTACATCCTTGTGTACAGTTTATTAACTAACAGAGCTGAATATGCAGCCAAGCCTTTGAACTTTTCCAAGGTTCGAAGACGGCCGAGTGTAAAATTTGACGAATACCTCGCATGACGTCACGAAATTTACTCGTTCCAGAGTCCTCAGCTACGGAAGTGGTCCATCAAAAATTTGTCAATTTTAAAACAGTCACAAAATTCAGAGGATTTGCCGAAATTCATTTTTGTTTTCGCAGAAAACATGACCGGGTTGAATTTCAACCCGCGGTTAACCGAGCTGAAATTGTTTTATGATTAAACAACAAGTTTCAGCCCAACCTCGTTCCCAGGGTCTTTCCCAAAGACCATGTAATTGGTCCCTGAAATTCCATCCACTACTAGGGGTTGATTATGAACAACTTAAAATATTTATTATAGTTACTAGACATCATTTTCATTGACAAACTCAATCTTCTGAATCTACTTTTATGCTGAATTTTCTAACTTTCATTGTTCTCTCATTCTGCGTTTCTTCACCGTAATTTACAGCATAGGTTATCTCGAGGAATCCATCGCTGTCCGCGTCGTGTACCAGAGGACTGGAATTGAGTGTAGGCCAGAGGGTGTCACACGAAGATGGTGCAGAAGAACCTGAAAAAAATGAACGGCAAATGGTCGACTGATACATCATATAAAGTGGACGAACTTGGGTAAAGAAAGACAGTAGAGACGGCAACGCGACGGCAACGCGACGGCAACGGCTACTAATACAATGTATCATTGAAAAGAATTGAGTAATTACAATATATGAATAATTTAGACATTGTCCTCGCTCTGTTTACAACGCCAAATCACAGATTTTCACGTCTTGATACAACGGCTGCATTTCAAGCCACAACAAGTGCAAATTCAAACTGGGTTTAGCAGAACTCTTCCCAACTATAAAACCCATGTCTTCAACTTCCAAAACTGTATTAAATTCATACGATTGATAATATACGACGAACTATCTTTACAACCTTTACTACCATTTATTTGAGGGAGTTTGTTTGGGCCGTCGTCGTCGCGTTGCCGTCCTAAAATCGCAAGGTCTCTAACACCAAATAAGCGACGCTTTTGTCAACGGACGTCATCCGAAGATTGGTAGAACTAATTTTGGCCGACATTTTGTATCATAGCGTTCGTATAAGTGTTGTCATATGTGTTGAAGATTACCACAAAATACAAAAGAACAGTAACTCCGAATAACATTTTGTAGCTTTAATGAATCTACGTTTCGACTATATTTTATGACTAAAATGTAATCGAAACGTTGATTCATTAAAGCTACAAAATGTTATTCGGAGTTACTGTTCTTTTGTATTTTATAAAAATACTCAGTGCTTCCCGTAACTATTACCACAAACTGACACAAACACAATTTTTAATCCAGTCCCCCCCAATCTGACGTCCGTGTTGATAGACTTGATAAAAACGTCAAGAAAATAAACACAAAACAATTTCTTGACTTCGCTGTGACCATAGACAAATAAAGAAATTTCCTTTGATTGTCTATATGCTGTGACATACGTTTATGGTACCAAGTTTATGGTATAGCAGACAAGCAGGAGATTCGAAAACAATAGGGACAAAAGTTAAGTTCATACAAAAGGGAACCAAAAGTTAAGTTCATACAAACTCGCACGCGCGCTGCTTATGCAATTAAAATAAACTGTTTGGTATTGTTATTGGATGAAAGAGTTGACTCTTGCGATGAATGGAAAAGAGGCTTTACCTTTATTTTTCCTAACACTGTTCTCCTGTGATATTACTGTAAACGAGTTCCTTGGACTATCAGGAAAGATTGCTATGAGAGCAAGATCATATCCTTTATGACATTCAACATGATGTTTCTTTTTTGAACTGGGAACGTGTGGCCTCGCGGTGGTATGGTGGATGTCTCCCAATTTTGATTGGTTCATTTGCGTGGTCTTCAGGAGTTGTGATGGTTGTCTCTGGAGTGTTTCATTTTGATTTGATTTCTGTTTTTTAACTTGAACAGACTGTGAAAAATGAAGATACATTACTAATTAAACCCTGCCAAAACGAGGATGCAAGTTAATGAGAGCTAAGAAGCGAGAGTTTGCATGAGAGTTTTCTCAACTCTCACGCCCCGGTCAAAAGAGAACAAGAGTTGCATGAGAGTTGATGAGAGTTGAGAAGTGAGAGTTTGCATGAGAGCTTTCTCAACTCTCATGCCCCAGTCAAACGAGAACAAGAGTTGCATGAGAGTACGTTGAGAAGCGAGAGTTTGCATCAGAGGTTTCTCAACTCTGATGCCCCGGTCAAACGAGAACAAGAGTTGCAAGAGAGTTGATGAGAGTTAAGAAGCAAGAGTTTGCATGAGAGTTTTCTCAACTCTCATGCCCCAGTCAAACGAAAAGAGCTACATGAGAGCTACATGAGAGTTGACTGAATATTACCGGTCAAACGAGCAAAACTTCTCATCAACTTTCATCAAAATTTAAACCAGTTTAAATTGGACGAGAATTCATGAGAGTCGATGAGAACTGGCGGTCAAACGAGAGTTGGAACACTGATCAACTCGAATCCTCATTTCACCGGGGCATACACCTACTTTACACATAACAAAAATCATTATTATATATGTTCATGCCCTGCTAGGTTGGGTTTGCTATAAAGCGGGCTCATACTGTATGGTAAAGTAGAATAAAATTCTGATAATGACACATTGACTTTAGTATTCGACAACTCACCTTAATATTTCCGTCCAAATGCCGAGTTCCGTTCAATTTAATTGGATGCAAAATATGGGAGTTCTTAGTAGCATTACCAACATTCCCTTTTTTATCTAAAACACTATCGTGAAGTCTAACTTTCGTGTTGAGGTTACTTTTCCCGAGAGTTGGTAAGACATTTGATTCGTCTTTCAACTTGTTCACAGCATTTTTGTCGTGGTTTGTTTTACTTAATTGTTGTAGTTTGGTTGGAGGTTTGGGGTTTGATATACTCTGACCGTGTTTCTGAACATCCTGAGATGGCGAAGAAGCAGTCTTAATAATTGTATTTTTTATCCTGTGTGCACTACCCACGTTTAGCGGTTTGTTGCCATCATTAGAAAGTGCAGAATTGTTTGGACTGGTATGGGTAGGCTTATTAACGTTAAGAAGTCGCTTATCGGAGTTGATGTTAGCGTCTCGTTGTTGCTGTGTTGCTGTTTGGGTGTTAGAGTTGATTTGGCGTTTCTGTTGTGTTGGTTTCTGAAAATTTTGACCAGTTGGTTGTTTATTAATAGAAGCTTTGGTAGGCATTACAATGATATCTTTACCAGCTCTTATTTTGTCCTGTGTGTTTTCAGATTCAATATCTGCCATTCCTTCTGCAGTAGCAGAAGTATGATTGTCACTGGGGGTAAGTACCAACGACGAGTCAAGGACTGGACTGTTAGTCTTTGAGGTCGAAGTTTGATGTACTGAAAAGCCAGGATGAGGGGCAAGGACTCGACCAGGTACCGAGTTGATGTCTGATTTTAAGCTTTGTTCTCTCGACTTATTATTATTATCATTGTCAATTCTGTCAGAAATGGTTTTCTTATCTTGTTGATCTCTCGCGTGAGTTGTTGGTGTTGTTACCTCTTTAGATACGTGTTTTGCTGTGTTACCTTGACCAGCACTACTCTCTACTTTGCCAGGATTTTGAATTCTAACATCTTCGGCTATTCCACTGTTCACCATTCTTGTGGTGGATTTACTTTTGATCATTTCAATATCACGTTGTTGTGATTCAGGACGCGTTGTGGGTAACGTAATCGTTGGATTCTGCATTGCATCGTTCTTGGAACCTCGACTGGTGTTTCCACTAAATGGAGTTTGGATTATAACATCTTCCACTTTTCTACTGTTTACTACTTCTCTTGTGGGTTCACTTTGAATATTACCATGTGATTCAGGAGAAGAACCAGTTGAGCTTTGTCTTCCATCGTTACCATCATTCTCAGTATTGGCAACTGTGGCTTCTCTGTCTGCCATGGTTCTACTCTGTTTCTGTGTTATGTCATAGATTTTATTCTGCATATTCAAAGATCGTTCAGTTGGTAGAGTGCTAGTTGGGCTCTGTCTTCCATTGTCTACACGACTCCTAGTCATCGTCGTGGCAGAATTGCTGTCACTTCCATCATCAATTCCACTGCCAGGACTGTTTACAATGAACTGTTCAACTCTCTTTCTGTGTGACAATTTTGTGCTAGGTTTCTTGGTTGTAGGTATTGTGTGTCTTTCATTTGTCACTTTATCGTCGTTCAAAAGGAGTGCTTCTCTCGGTTTCTTTGTTCTAGCCTGAGGATTGTTATTGTTTATAGGACGTTCAGTTCCCAAAGATATATGAACTCCCAAGTTTACAGTTGGACTTTGGTTTCTGCCGGCATTATGTTCATTGTCAGCGTTGTTTATCAATACTTGTGTGATTGTTTGCCTGTTTTTCACTCTTTTACTTGGTTCGCTATGCAAAGCACGAATATCATACAACACAGGACGCTGTGTGGCCAATTTTAGAGTAGTTGGACTTGGTTTTCTTTCGTTATTTCCACTTTTATGGCTATTTATCTTCATTTGTCTAACACTCTGTCTCACTCTTGTGCTAGGCGTACTGTGCAAAGCACGAATATCATACAACACGGGACGCTGTGTGGCCAATTTTAGAGTAGTTGGACTCGGCTTTCTACCACCATTTGCACTGTTAAGGCTGTTTATCTTCATTTGTCTAAAACTTTGTCCCACTCTTGTGCTAGGCTTACTATGCAGAGCATGGATATCTTCAAACCCAGGCCGTTGTGTGGGCGACCTGGTACTACTAGTCGCCTTTTGTCTTCCACCATGAGAACTACTTTCTTTGTCAATCACTGACGACGGTTCTCCATCTCGCTTTAAGATATCTTCAAGTATTTTGTGTGTGCTTTCAATTCTTCTTGGTTTCAGGTGAAGTTGCACGCTCGATTCTGTTCGAGGTTTTTCATGTAAATTTGTTGCAGGAGTATTTTCAAAGTCTTTGACAAAAATCTCATCAACGAGGGAGTCTAACTCGCTGGCCACATCACTTGCTGGTAACGTCATTTTCTCGCGGGATTCCACACTGCGTGGTGAACGACGATGCTTCGGTTGTTGTTGGATGGAATGACCATTAACGTTATTCTGCACAGCATTTCGCGTATCGAATGAAGTAGCCTTGTTTAACGCTTGTTGGGCTGCTGGTTTTCGCTGTACTTCAACATCTTTCACTGTTTTCGATGGGAAAATCTTCTCATATTTTGTTTTACTTTCCTTTTCAATCCAGAGAAGAAACACATCATTTTTGTAGCCGACATTTGCAGATAACGGAGTTGTGTTCTTGGCCAAGCGTAGTTTTCGACTCCATATTATGTTCCCATTTTGACCGTCTAGGATTTGCACCAGTGACTGGTTAAGTAAGGATAATACTGGATCGTCAAGGATAACCAAGATATCCGGAACCTCGTCGTCATTGTAGTGTCCGACCACAGGTTGGCTAGTTGGATGATAAAACAAAGAAAGTAAACAACAACAACAACAACAACAACAACAACAACAACAACAACAACAACAACAACAACAACAACAACAACAACAACAACAACAACAACAACAACAACAACAACAACAACAACAACAACAACAACAACAACAGTTATATTTGAAACAAAAAGTAGTATAGCAAAAACAACAAGCAACAATACCAAACACGACAAAAACAGGAACAGCAGTAAAAAACATTTATTTGCAGCAAAAGCAACGACAAACGGTAACAACAGAAGCAAGTCTGTTGGGACTAAATCCGCTCACAAATGAGTGAGAAAACTCAACAAACTCAATATTACAATAAACTCAACACCTACCTTAACATTTTCCTCGATCCAAACGCAATTCTCCACATCCTCTTCAGCTTACCTCCGTCAACAGCCGTCAAGGAATGCTTGTTTCCCGCCAATGTGACCAAGATGATATCTTCAACAAAATCTTTGTTCAAATCTTTCACAACTGGCTCGTGGTCGGTCGAAACAATATCCAAAACGCTTACGGTTGAATTTATAAACAGGAATGGCGATTCACCCCGAGATTCTAAAATCTTACCGTACAAGTCTTGAATTGAGATGACTTTGACATGGCCTTTGTTGCCGACTGTTAGGACAAATATCAGGTTTTCAGCTTGCCTCGTAGAGTGCACAGATACGCGCTTTATTAGATGATTTTGAGGGATATTCAGCCTGGTTCCTAATGGGTACCCCGTACGACCGGAGATGAGTTGGACAATTCCAGGATGTGTGCAAAACGTCTTATTGGTTGGCGGTATACATGTAGTGTTAAACCGATCATAGCTGAGTAGTATATCTCTCCCGTCATCTCCATCACAATCACTGATGCCAATAATTATACTTGGTAATATAGATCCGATTAAGATACGGGTTGACCAAATAATCTGATTGCGCTTAGGGTTAATTAACTGCAGCCGTCCATGTGAACTTTGAATCAAACACATCTCAAAATCATTATCATCAGTTCGACATTCGATAAGTTTTACAACATCCGACGCATTATATAACCACAGTAATTTGCCATTGTCTTCGTTTAATAAAATTAAGCCAGATTCTTTTGTATTCCACCTAGATTTTGTATTCCATTTGTTCTTTACCTCAAATTTCTCATTTCGATGTTTTTTGGTCAGATCATTCCCGCTGACCCTTTTCCCATCGTAACTGACCACGACTTCCCTCGTTTTCGTTGACGACAAATGGAACACAATCCCGGTGGAATACCCAGGGAAAACCGTCGACCAATTTTGGTGAAATTTCTCCAAATTGCTAGTGACTGTTGTGATCATGTTTGCAACATTGCAGGAAGGACCTTTACAGGGTACGGTGAAGGCGAATACGAAGATAGTCAGAGTACAGATCATCAACGACACGACGAAACACAGTCGACGTGCGTTCGACATCGGTTCGGGTTTATCATCCAAACTTCGCGATTCGAATCTAACGTTGCGTTTCACACGCCGTTCTTTCGTCTCCGCTTCTTCGCTCTCTCGCGAGGTTCGTGGCGTGGCCATAGCGTCAGTGTTTCTTGACGCACCGCAGTTCTTGCGCTGTTCATCAAAGCTTCTTGATAAGTTGTTATTTTCGAACACTTCGTCTTCATCTTGTGAGACTACATCCTGCGGCACAGCGGTGTATCCACGGGGTGTAAACATATTCACTGCTTTGAACGTAGCAATCTTTTTTTCAGTTTCTAGAGAAATTGAAAACAATCATTCGTAAAAAACTGTAATACGCCTAACTGTTTTTGCACGAGTTCCATGGGGCACAGCCCGTGGTTTAAAACTACCAGAAAAAACCCCAAAACATTAGACGTTTCAACCTAATGCCTTTTGTAAGGAAGACCGTTAACTTAGCTATAGTTAGCTTGGCTACAGTTAGTTTTTGCCACAAACTTAGTGATGAAGGGCCTTCGCTCAAAACCTCAAAGAATTTGCAAGCTTCTTCAAGTAGTGAGGCTAGACTGTTCGGCTAAGTCTGGCATTAAACTTCGACATTTTTAAGATTCAATGTCTTCTCGATATGGTGATCCCCGTGGACTCGACAGCTCAATGGACAATGAGAGAAACGGCGGTCTGGAAATCCGAAAAGTTTGAATCCTGGCTCGAGACAATTAATTTTTCGTTGAATAGTGAAATGAAATAAATGTGATATGAAATTAGTTTTTCATATCTTTGAGGATGGTTCTAAAATAGAATTGTGGCAATAACTATACTTTGGGACCGGAGGACTGAATGTGAATACGATCTTCCGAATCATTGACGATTGAGTATTGGCTTAAGTAACAATATCTAACAGTTTATTCAGTGAAAATTTATATATACTGTATATACTTCTTATCGTCGAACTCCCTGCCAAGCTAACTCAGTTGTTTGACGAAGATCATTTTATATAACTCTTTAATTCATAATGAAATCCACAGGAAAGCACAGTGACACTGATTACATTCACACTAGGACGGCTCCATAAAGTCAAAACTTCAGAAATCAAATATACGCTTTGTTTATATGAAAACATTGGCAAACACAGTTCAAGTTTGGCCTAATATTAACGAACAAACAAGCTATTAAGTGAATCTAATATAAAATTTGAAAAATAAAGAGGCATATACCTTTGAACAGACTTGTTTGTCTTGTCTTCAAATGATGATTTTAGAAAATTTTTTCCACCTTTTCATAAACCAGATGTATTCACAATTCATTCAAAGTTTGCTAGACGTTCCACCTAAATAAATGATGAGAAAAAAAAATGCTTGTCAATAAATCTTACACTGATTTTATAAAAGTCACATAAAGTATAAAGTCAAGAAGGCAATAACAATACAAATATATTTAAAAGGATTCGTGGACTTACTGTTTAAAACCAATCTGGCACAACCTTGAGAATTCTTCATAATTGATATACAACTTTTAACTCGGGGGGCCAAATTGCGGGCGACCGCAAATTATTCCGTCACTTCAATGCTTGAGATAAAGTAGATAACCCTTCATCGACTTTCATTAGTTATTCATTTTAAGTACTCTCTCCTGAACAAAGCAGCCAAGTTAAAATTTTAAATGCACGTCAGTTTCGTTTAAATTTGTTCGAATTTTTTTAAGCATTTAAAACCGTTCGGATTAAATTCTTTTTCAAGCAGGTGTGAGCGGCGACAATTTATTCTGCGCAAGTAATGAAAGTCTTTGTTGTGCAGGTGAAATTTGCTATGAATTTTTAACACTTTTATGCTAGACTCATCCGTTTATCGATATATTCGATGTGAGGCACCGTTCATTGTTTAACATGATTCAGAAATATTCTCAAGTCAGGATTCAAAATCCTTGGCCTTGCAAGGTCGTACATTTTTGTCGTAACACAGACGTCACTCAAAAATTCGTATAACTAATTTTGACGCTATTTCGCATCACAGCGCTCGTGAATTAAGGAAGCAAAACTATTTTAAAAATCTTATGTTTTGTCATATGCGTTGAGGATTACCTGACAAACTGACACAAATACATTTTTTAATTCAGTCCCCCTTCGGCAATCTGACGTCCCGAAGAGAAACTGAAAACAGTTACATTTCTATGTGGCATCAAAAATTCACTCTGCCAACAGAGTTATTCAATCGGGGATGTCCGATTTAGCGTATAGCTGGTTTAAACGGAGCCCTGGCTATAAACAAAATTACAGAATTACAAAATTACAACCAATATCATAAATATTTAGTACATACAATCTAGATATTATGGACAGTCTATAGAGAGTACAATTTGGAATATCATTAGCCGTTTAGGAACTTCTTAAGATCTATCTTAAATTTTGAAAAACTAGTTTCATTTCTAAAACTCGATGGTAGCAAATTCATGTTTTTGCTCCATTGTATCGAAAAGAACCTTGATATTTTGTCCTGTATCTATGTGATATATCAACCCCATACAGAGGTTTCCGGAAGCCCTGGGTAAGAGTTTGTGTATTTTTTATTTATTTCATCTAATCCGTTGAGCGCTAGTGCTCAACGGGTATAAATTGACCCCTTGACGAGTATAAATATAAAGTAAAAGATAAAGTTGGCCGTGTACTGTAGGCACAATGAAACTTTTGTGTTAACTAGACACATGTGTTCAGGTTTATTGGAAATAACAATAAACTATATTTTTTAATAAACAATATTCAATAAAAATAATATTTACTGTACAGTGAACTACTACAAAAATAGTCTCTCGTATAAAATCGTATCATTTACAACATATGAAACAATTAAAAATATTTTTAAACATATTGTCCACTCTTTATAAAAAAATATTGTTAAAAATATTGCTCACTCTTTACAAAAATATGTTCAATCAGTCATGGCAGAAGTACATAATAATCTACAGCACTTCAATATCTTGCTAATCAGCTTATAAATGATCGAACCAATCAACAATTGTTTTACTCAAAGAAGTAAAAATAGAATGGCATTTTAACATGTTTGTTGTAAACTTAAAAACTTAAATTTTCAGTCGTTATTCACGAGTATCTACAATATGGTAAACAAAACATGTTGTCTTATTAAATTAACAGTATACTATCGAGGAAGTTGATTCTGTTAGGCAGATCTTAAATGCTATTGTAGATAATATGCTAAACCAATTTCTTATAACATTTTGTCTTAATTTTAAACAGTACTATAGGGACGTCAATGTTGCTGCACACATTATCCATAATCAACCAAAACACACGACATCCAACAAACCAAACATGTAGTTTTAAATAAGTTAACCAATGCTGACTAAGTTGCCAATGATAAAAATTTCCGTCTGATCATCGACTCATTTTTTCTTTCCTTTCTTCTTTCCTTTCTTTTTCGTCTTACCACCCGACCCCTCCCATCCAAAACCACGGAATGCCAGGAACTGTGGTGCATTGTGGGATATATAATATGCATTTTCCATCGCAGGCTTGCTTAGAAGATCGACGTTGCTTTTTTTCGGCGAGGCAGAGCATGACTTGGACTTGCCTTTTTTTGAGGACTTTTTCGATTTCTTGGATGGACTTTTACTTCTTCCTCGAGGTTTTGCTGGAGATTTTGCAGAGTGAAGGGATTTTTTCGTCTCAGGCTGACAGAAAAGAAATGAAACCAGGTATCACTCAATGTGTGAGCGCCACTTGCAGCCACCTATTGAACTTGTGCAGGCACTTTGGGTCAAGAAATTTCTACCAGAATACAAATTTCTAGTATCCCATTTGAGAATCCAGTACCGGTAATCCTACTTCTGGATACTGGTTACCATAAATTTTGGCATTCCTGAACAATCTGAGTAAGTATACTCTATTACTATAAATTACAATAACAACAGGAGACTCAACCGTCAACAACTAGACCACCAAGTTCGAAATCAAAGACTGGTTATTTTCAAAAAGGCAGACTCATAGTATTCAAAGCAATTGGCAGAACTACCAGAGACATTTAGCATTATCCTAATGTTTGAAACTTTGTTATATCCAGTTGAGACGCAAGCAGGGCTACAAATAAATATTTGACTTGACAGGACATTTGTCCGATCACTTTTAATTTTGGTCGGACATATACGTACACGTCTGTATAGCCATTCCAGCGCAACGTTAAGTAAAATGCTAGAATGCCATTTTATTGCAAAATGCAAATTGAGTGAATTTGCAATCAGATTTTGTCACAGCAAAAAAATGTATGTGACAATTTTTTTTGTGATCAGACCAATGTTACTTTTGCTCGGACATTTGCCAAATTTAGTCGGGCATTGTCCGACAGTAATTTGCAGCCCTGTACAAGTCATTCACAGTTTGGTATCCAAAACCAAAGTTTAGTATCTTGTGGGGATATCGGGATACTGCAAATTTCAGACCCTGTGCAGAGTGCAACCCTTAAAATTGGATAACAGTCATAACACATACTGTACAAATGGTACCAGCTAAAGTGAGTTGCATACTGTCAGTTCTTACTGGTCAAAATGTCCCCAGGACGAAATGTCCCCAGGTCAAAACGTCCCCAGATCAAAACGTCCCCAAGCCCAGCCCAGCCTGCCCAGGTGCCAGGTCAAAACGTTTTGACCGGATAAACTGTCAGTCTGTCACGGACAAATATTGCTAGACTGACTGCTATCAAGGACATTATGATGTATTGTATATAAGTTGTATCCGCTATAATAAAAAAGCTAAACAAACATATTCAAGTACAAACCATGATAATATTGACAGAAACACAGCTGCATTCCAATACCCAAAAACTTCAAACTTTCATTGCCGTTTTAACACATTTCTTTTCAAACAAAACGTACAGTTAAATTTCATACTAACAGGTCTTCGTACTGTATGTTTGTCCAACAAAGATTAAATGATTATCCACAACAATACCAAGGCAACGACGCTTTATAAGTCATAAATAAAACATATTTTCTCTTCTTTTTAATTAAAATTGGTTCTTTTCAATATGGCGTCTCGATGGTGCTTCCACTTTTAGAATTATGCAGTAAAGAAAGCAGGGAAAACTAGCTGTGGGGAAAACCTGTCTGAAACGTAGGTCTGTTATCAGGCTACTCTCTGGGCTAATTTACGGTTTTTTATGTACACAACTTGTGAAAATTATAAGTTTCTTTTTACAATTCATTGGTTAAAGGCATACGGCCTATCACCCTGCTATGTTCTGGTGAAAACTGAGATTTGGCTTGGTTAATTAAGAGAACAAATTATTGTAATTAAGACGTCAGTAATTACTAATTAGAACTGAATGAATCGCTGAATGAAGTGTTTTCAGGGGCGGATGGGTGCAGATCTAGGGGGTGCGCACCCCACCTAGTGGTTTCTAACACCCTCTAGATAAGTCCAGCTCACTCTCACCTTTCTGCTTTTCGAATAGCGGAACTTCTACTGATAGCGTATGACGATTTCTTGAAACGGATTAATTAATTTGTGAGCTCACGAGAAAATACTCAGAATTCTTTAGTTAAATATCATGGTTAAATATGTAAACATGTCGAGGTTGTTATACAGCCATATTTTCAAAGTGATACTGTACTTTAACAAGAAAAATTACTGTACTGTGCAACAGCAACTGTCCAGTCACGCATAAGTGAAAAAAGCCATATAAACTTCATAAACAAAAGATAATGTAAAACGTAACAGAACGGAGAACAAGCAGATTCGGCTATCTCAAATAATGGTAATGTTGGGATAGTAGCGTTGCAGACTGCAGAGGAGAGTGGGCAGTAAGGCTCCCTCATGCACCACCCCATGGAAAACCTGCACCCCTCCTTGCAGATGAGGCTAGATCTACCCCCGCGTGTTTATGATCAGGTAGCTCGAATACCATAGATGAAGGAAAATAGGAGTATCTATAAAATGAACAAAGAGTGTCAGTGGCACCCTTAATAGCAGAAAATTTCAGGCATGCAGTGAAACAAACAGCTTGTACAACAATTACGTTTGTAAAAGACTAAAAGATCACTTTATTGAACATATATAACGTAAGCTATGTAACACAAGTTTAAGTAGAATAAGTAACAACTTCAACAGCTTGGCTGGCTCCAGGGACGGGGTTTTCAGCACCGGTGGAGTCAACAAGCTGTGTTTGAATACTCTGAGGCGAGTTCACTGTATGCAAGTTAGAATGTGGTGCCATGGCAACTTGCGGTATGCTTGTGGCGATGTACTGCGTCTGAGAATTTGTTATCTGACCGTTCTGAATCTGCATCATGGCAGCCGCAGCATGAACTGGGATAGTTACCAAATTTGACGTATTCAGAGTTGATTCGCCAACGCTGGCCAGGGCATTTGCTGCATGTTCTGATATGACCAACTGACCTCCATCGGATAAGGTTGCCTCGGCAAGTGTCGCGACCGCTGCCTGGGCAGCTGCCTCACCTTGCGACATCTCGCTGATACTTATTGTAACCGGTGTGCCTTGGGTTGTTGCCGATACATCTGAGAGGGTTGCAACTGCTTGCGTCGACTCTGCTTGTGTGGATCCGTCCGTGTATGAACTGACAATTGCCCCGGTCGCATCCACCTGTACCAAGGACAGAGTACCATCTGCGTTGGTCAGGGTGTGTACGATCGGATGAGTACCCTGTACTTGTTGATATCCATCACCATCTTGGAAATCTGGCAATAGATCTGAGCGGCCATGGAATTCATAACAGTTCTTAACAATCATTCTCAAAGCGTTGGTCCAGGATAGCTTCGCTTTCTGCTCCTCAGTGCGAGTATCGGAACGGACATTTTGCCACGGGATCTCGTCAGGCCACCATGGGGGTTTTGTTGAATCCCGCCCCCAACCCGGTTTTCCTCGGCCGGTGGAATATTTTAACATCAGTGGTATGAACGCTCTGAGTTGTGCTTGGGTCATTTTGTCGACGGGAGTTGGGATGCCATCTATGTACAACGGTGGGAGCTCAAAGAGGCCGTTGTTGTCCTGACTGGGGGTTGGTGTCTGCTGTGCCAATGCCGCTTCCAAACTTTGCAGGATGTGTGGTTTTAGGCCCTTCACACAATTCTCCAGAGGCGCTGCACCAAACACCTAGAAATTATTAATCAATTTGCTATACTATACTTTTGCTATATTTAGCACGACAATGGCATTATGACACGTGCTTATCATCACAGATAATCTAAAAAATCTGAATTGGTTGTTCCAGAAAAGATCCACCCTACCCCCGAGCAGGAAATTTCCGCTGTCCGGAGGGTGATAGATTATGACATAGTCTGTGCAATGTGATAAGGGTGCCCTCATGTGATCAGGGGGAGGGGAGAAAAATAGTAGGGGAGAAAAATAGGAGGAGAAAAATTTGTCTCTGATTATATTAGGCGTAAAAAAAAAATACCTGTGGTTCCGGTTTCATATCGTGAAAAAATTAGGGTCGGTAGGTCGGAAATAATTTTTTTTTTGACTATTTTTTTCATGATTTTGGCGGTTTTTTGCTGGGCGATTTGCAGTAGAGTCCCGACATCAATATTAACTAGAGACTCGTATTTCCTATGGACGAATTTAGGCAATTTGGTTCAATAATTAGTGTAACAACAGACGCCATTTTGGCACGCTGTATGAGCAGCCCGCAACCACCCGGAGAAAATAGGGTCGCACGGTCAATCGCGTTGAAAAAATAATAGGGTCTGCAGAAGAAAAATAGGGTCGGTCGGGAACCGGAACCACAGGTATTTTTTTTTACGCCTTAGCAGACGAAGAATTAATATTGTCAACCACGTCAATCAAGGAAGTATCATCAGCATAAAGAAAACAATCAGTTTCGAGATCAGTGGTAATATCATTAATGTAAACCAAAAACAATAAAGGCCCCAACACTGACCCTTGAGGTACTCCGGCCTCTATATTTGACCACTCTGATGCTTGGCCATCAATAACAACACGCTGTTTTCTATCAGTTAAATAGCTTTTTATCCAAGCTAACAGATGGTTAGTGATTCCTAAGGATTTAAGCTTAAACAATAGACCTTTGTGCCAAACCTTATCAAAAGCTTTAGTCATATCAAAAAAAAAACCAGCTTGCACTTCTTTACCTTGTTCGAAAGCTTCGTAAATCTTATGTACAATAAGAACAAGTTGATTAACCGTTGAGTCTCCAGGCCGAAAACCAGACTGAAAAGAAGTGAAAAAATTTATTTCCAACAGAAAATTATATAGTCGAATAAATACAATTTTTTCAAGAATTTTGGATAAACATATCAAAAGAGAAACTGGGCGATAATTAATTTTTGATTGTCGATCATTCTTTTTGAAAATTGGTATAACATTGGCAAATTTCCACGCAGATGGAAAATACCCCGCATTGAGTGAAATATTAAAGAATTTGGACAGCGACGGTGCTATAGCATTTGCGCATATTTTTAAAAGGGAACGCTTGCCTTTGCAATATTCAAATTTTTCAGTAAATTAATGACTTCAGTTTCACATGTGGTAATCTTGCCTAGTGATTTTGAGCTTTGGAATACTCTAGTATTTGGTATGGGGGCATCTAA